CTCCATAAAAATTATGAGCGCAAAAAAAAGTGGGGTTTTTTAAATAAATCGAGTTTTTTATGAGATGCATTTTTTTGGAAAAAGTGCATAATCTTCTCGGAAATGCATTAGTGCATTTATTTTAATGCATAGATTTGAAGGCTCTGTATTTCTCTATCGTATAAAAAAAGATTTATTCGATTCCGATGATAAATAAGCATGCGCAAATCGATTGAAATTGAATACGATATTTTTTTTTTGTTAGTCTGTTTTCTGAAAGTGCATCTTTCAAGTACGTTGTTGATGCACCTATGCATCTTGGGGGAAAAGAAAAAATAGGGGTCGTCTTATTTTGGGCCTAGAACATTATCCAAGTATTTTGATGTTGTTTCGTTACCGGTCACCCGGTGCCCTGCATGATTTAAGGTGGAATCAGCATAATTTTCAATGTTAAATTATTGCTTGCAAAAAATTAAAAACAATTGATAGCACCCATGAGTCATACCGTTTGAAAGCTCTTGACCTTTCAAACGCGCTCCCGGACGACTCTGTAAGTTAACTTTTACGAGAGACTTGAACTTTACATTTTAGACTAATTTTTCAGCGGGGAGCCCAAAGTAGGTGGATAACAATGTACACATACACACACAACTCACAACGCTCACACACACACACACAAAACACTCATCATTTACAATAATGTTGGAAATGATTTTTAAATGAAAAAAAAACACGATAAAACATGAGCCATCAACAATATATTTATGACTTTTCGTACATCAAGAGAAGTTGCGATTAACATCGGACGATAACAATCTATAATAAATATTCACTATTTCAACAAAACAACCAGTTTAACAAAATTTGTAATAGCCCTATCCTTCTAATAAGTTTAATTAAGTTACCATTTTGTTATGAACTTTTACTGGTGATATTGAATAGAACACAGTAATTATTGACGGTTTGACATATTATTTTTGTGCTACTAAAATATGTCGGCAGTGAAAACAGTTTCTCGAGATATTTCGATCTTTGACATCGATTTAAAAGTTAGTTTCAGCGAGCACACACTTGTTTAGCGTTTGTTTAAGCGTCAATTAAACATAAAAAATGGTTATATTATGATTCATTGAATGCTCCGACCGCTGTTCGAGAAAATCGATAATTATCAAATTCACCAAAAAACTAGTAACAAAACTTGTAGCGACTCCCGTTTGTTTTTTATTGTGGGCACATAAAAAAATGAAGATATTTCTTCAAGAACATTATAAATAAAACAACTCCTGAAAGTTTTATAAGAATTCAAACAATGCTTCATATTTTACAGCAAATCGAAATTTTTCTTTTTGCAAAGTAACATGCAAAATTCATCAATATTCTGACTTTTTATCTTTCTGACATTCAAAATTGTATGCAAAGAATAGTCTTGAATTGATAATAATTTTTTTCCTAATATATATACGTTGTCAATCTTTAAATTTAAGCCATTCCAACTTGACCAAACTCATGTCTACACAGTTATAGAAACTAGTACCACAAAAGCCAAAAGTTTCTAGGATTTGCCCATATATATATATATATATATATATATGTATAGGGTGTCCTATTTTAAAGGAACCACCCCGAAATTTTCGACGGTTGGCGTTGTACAAAAAAATTGTTCAGACAATAGTTGTTTGGGACAATGCGGGCAACCTTTCTGTGAAATCCGATTTGACCTTGAAATTCATTTTCACGGTCATTTGAAGGTCAAAGTCATTTTTTGAATAGGAACCCGTATTTTCGATCCCAGATTCGGAAAGAGCGGAAAATTCTACGTTCAGATAACGTATTATGTGTCGGGTGCGGTTAACCCCCCCCCCCCCCCTCCCGCCTAAGGTCATGTAGGAGTCAAATTTATGATTTTCTTCATCTATGCACAGGGATGATCGGGCAAGAGTAAGGTTAATTGTAATAACCCAATAACTCGATAACCCAAATAACCCATGAAACCCGATAACCCCAATAATTCAATAACCCCAATATCCCAAAAAAATTATAGGGTCAAACAACAGTGATCTTGAGCTTAAACTTCAGGTTGATTTTCAAAGTCGACTTCATGTATTCAAAGCCTTCATGAGAAGTGTCATTTTCCATTTGTAGGATAACATGTTATTTCCATTCTTTTTTCTGGTACGATTCCGGACAAGCCTACAAAGTTTCAACTAAATTGTTTAATAACACTTTTTTAGTATTGTTTATGACAATAGTGATTCGCGAACAGTCCTTCTCAGGATAGTTCAAGTGTAATTTTCTTAGTCGACTTAAAAGGAGGGAATATGCCGGATTATTCGAGAAACTAAATTGTTGATATTTTGTTGTCTCTCGGGGCATGTCAAGGCCGATATCGTGCTGCGGCAAGGTATTACCCGCAGCACCCGGCTAGGTAATCAATACCTTGCCTTCATTGGCTAGGTAATCGATATCTTACCTTCATTGGCTGGGTAATCAATACCTTGCCTTCACTGGCTAGGTATCAATACCTTATTAACCTCACCCTTGCCCCGGTGGGATAGGGGGGTGAACCGCTCCCCCAACATAATACTTTATCTAAACGTAGAATTTCCCGCTCTTTTCGAATCCGGGATAAAAAATGGGGGTCCTTATTCAAAATATCTCTTGGTTATTGGGTTATTAACCTTACCCTTGCCCGATCATCCCTGTGCATAGATGAAAAAAATCATAAATTAGACCCCTACATGACCTTAGGCGGGAGGGGGGGTAACCGCACCCCACACATAATACGTTATCTGAACGTAGAATTGTCCGCTCTTTCCGAATCCGGGATAAAAAATATGGGTTCCTATTCAAAAAATGACTTTGACCTTCAAATGACCTTGAAAATAAATCTCAAGGTCAAATCGGATTTCCCAGAAAGGTTGCCCCCATTATTCCAAACAACTGTTGTCTGAACAATTTTTTTGTACAACGCCAACTGTTGAAAATTTCGGGGTGGTTCCTTTAAAATGGGACAACCTGTATATGAAGGTTTATTGAAATATATAAAATTAAAATGTAGAAATAAGTAAAAATGAAACTAAATCAAATTGTATCCGTACGAAAATAATTCAAATAAAATATGCATGTAAACCGCAGTACTAGCGAAATGCAATTCGCTGATCAATAATTTATATCAAAATTCGATATAAATAGGATGAATTATATTAGACCATACAATTAGTTACAGTTAGAAAAATAGCGGAACTATAAATACCGTCCGTAATTTCGTGAACTTGAACAAATTTTGAAACAAAATACAACTCGCGCTATTGACGTCATTAATATGTAAGCCAAAAATAGGGTATCTTCAAGGAACCGATTTTCGTCCTCATCAACGATGCGTTCGGAAGTAGAGGTAGATATTAAAAAAGAGATGGAATGTATTCGTAGACCAAGTGAGAAGGGGACGGGGGAAAATGAGAAATAAAATATTGTTAAATTTAGAAGATATAGAGAGTGCATCCGACATCCAAAATATTATTAAGATAATAACATAATTTTTTGGCGATGAGAAGAAAAAAAAAAGATTTTTGAAGAAATCGAACCCATTCTTGTCCATTATGCCTGTGTTCGTTCAAGTGTGCACCTCACTTTTCACCATCGTTAGCCAGCCATATTTATCGACCACGCCCAAACTAATTTTCATCATTGTGTCGATTTAACAAAAAAGTGTGGAATAAAATACTGCTGTGAAATGTAGCCTGTACATGTAGTACGTAACTGGCTGTCGTTACAATATGTATTTTTTATCATTCACTTTGAATTTACGTAGACGTGCGGATTTGTTGTCGCGAATTGTCGTTCACCGAGCAAATGTAAATTCACTGTACTGACAATTTTTATTTTTAGAGTTGACCGGCCAGCGTATTAAGTTAGAAAGTCGAGGAAAAAAGATCGTATCCAAAGAATTTGAAGTATTTAGTGATCCAAGATGTTTATTTTTCCCATGTGATGCGCAGAAGGTGAAAGAAAAGGCGGGGGTGTTTCGATTCGATTTATTCTGCTTAACTGAAATCGGATTACACTCTGAACAAATATGACACGTTCTGGAGAGCACTTGATCGTCAGTCCGTCGAAGGCGTTCAGGACAAAAGAAAAGCTTGGAAAACAGGCTCCTGTCGGGAGAGGTCACTGTCGAGCGCTCCCTGTCGGCCTCTCTCTAAGGCGTCAGCGATCGGCCCTGCCGCACGCCGGTAGCGGCAGGGCGCTGGGTGCGCGCTTGTTCCAAACACCATGCATGTTACCATTTCTTTGCAGTCGCGAACGGGAAAAACATTCTTGGACGGTGACTTCAGTGTTCACTCAAGTTAACGTTTTTTTCCCGATCTCCTGGGTGGATTTAGAATCTTTAACATACCTACTCGTTAAAATCGTAATCTTCAAAGGTAATAGTTAATTAGATTTGCCGATTCGCATATTAATTTCGCTCGCACCCTGCTCTGAAAGAAGTATAGTGTACAAACGCTAGGCCGATCTACTTCTGGAATCACATGTTCAAGGACTAAGAGCGAACCGTTGGTAAGAAGTCCACTATTTTTTGATCGAAAACTCTGCCCGTTGAAAACTCAAACTCCAACACTTGTCGCAGTCGATTGTTCTTGTACAAACTGGGTTTTGGCATTTCCGACTTAAATTCCCCACGACTGTTGCAATCTAAGGAAAATAGTCTGGTGCCTGTTAAATAAAATAGGAAGTTAAATTGCTAATGGGTAGTTGGTGAAATGATTTTGCCGGCGGATTTATCCCTGAAAATTCCCGGTTACAATACTAAAAGCAATTCTTAATGTTTCCCTACTAAAAAGACGTTACAGTCATTATTTGATTGATTCTATTAAGATAAGCAAAAATAGTACATATTTACGATTGTATTTCACCCTTAACATGAATATGGCTAATAAATAAATATTAAATTAAAACACTTATTTGTCTATTCACATACATATATATTGTTTTCATGGTACCCACAAAATATGTAAACTTACATCAACATCACCCATCATTTCCTTCGTAGAAACAGTAGTTTCAATGCGGCGTATACTGCCTTGATGGATATTTACATCAAATTTGATCCATTGAAATCTTCTTAATAAAAATACCACGGGGATTGGCGCTATGCCGACTAAAATAATAACTGCTGCTATAGCAAGCACCCAATCTGGATAATCCATTAGTATCGTTAAACCCTACATAAATTATATGAGGTACATATTTTGTTAAACAAGATGTTATTTATGCAATAATTCGGAAAAAATAATTATTCATGTTAATTACCAATGAAGCATCCCATGCACTATAAGATGGTTTTTTTATAAACATCGATATAACGCTGGTAATCAAAATAGCAACCATAATTATTGGAGCGAGAAACCTCCATGTCACCTGCCAATATAATCCTGGTCGATAACCCGTCATATCTGCAATATCTTGTGTGAACCTGCTCATAATGGTAAAAATAGATTATAAGTTTAATTCTTTTCAAAATGACTGAAAATTTCAGCCGTATATATTTCTTATTAGGTATACGGAATATATTACTTTTTATGCCCGTAAACAAAAACGACGGCTATAATTTCCATTAAAGCCACTAGTACCAGGCCTATTGTACCAGCGAAGCTATCAAACATTTTGAGCCAGTATTCGCCTGCTCCAGTACAAAATATCAGACCCACAATGAAAGATGTCAAGCACAACACACCTAAAATAAAAATTGGATCAATGTTAATTTGATCAATCAATAAATATTAATAAGTGACAGAAAAACCTATTACCAAGAAATCTATTTAATGATACAGAATACAATACTATACTATTACGAAGAAAATATTAAATTTGATCAAAAAAATAAACAAATCTCTAGTTAAAAGAATTTTTCAGAAAGGAGTTTTTTATCATATGGAAAAGGAGCAAAATGTTTCAAACTTTTCAAAATACCTTTTCAAATACATACTTTTCGAATTTTTGAGTACTCAAATTTTATAAAATTATATTTCAGCAATTTGATTCTTATTACTAATAACTTTTTATTTATTTTAATAACAAATATGGAACTTAGATCAAAATACGAAATCTCTCACTCAAATGAAGTTATTTATTACTCAATCATAAAATACTTAATTTGAGAATTTAATAAGAACCAGTATATATGAAATAAAGAAATAAAGTACATTATTAACAAATCCTGAAATAAAGTAATATCTCGTGAATTAACATCGCGAGACGCGATGATTTAGTGTATAATTGTAAAGTATAATTCTATGTCGTAACACAATTATAAAATAAATTCTTATGTTTGTATGTTGTGCCTTCGTGTATTATCAGTCTACTATGTGTAACGCATGCATGCGCTCGGGAACGGGGTTCGAAATTCCGAATGATACCCATATCTTGCGATACTTCTCGGCAACTCTTGCAAAAATGCGGGTTACTGTCTTGTCCAGCAGTTGTTAAGATGCTCCACTGCGTTCTGAGCTCCTGCCTATCGTTCATTAGGTTACTTCGTATACTCTGCGAAATTCGTTTCGGCCATCATCGGTCAAGTGAATCAAGTGAATCATCATCATCGTTTTGAAAGTGTAAATTTTATGATAAACTACGTAAAATTTCCTTGTGAATAGCATCATTGTAGGTCTCGTGGTCTTTTTCGTGAATTACCGGTCCACTACATTTCGAGAATTTCCATTATTCAACGATTCTTTCATTATTTATCTCTTGATGTTGCGGTATTATTTACTTATTCCCAATTATTGCAATTTCTGAAATTCCTTAATTCTTTGTGTTTTGACTTAGATATTAGAATGTTATTAACTTTCAAAGTTTTGAAATTTATTAGATTCCAAGTTCTCGCTCTTTTTTTCTTTTGTTTATTGAAGAATGCACTATACTTTACTTGCTTATGATTTTGTACTTATTTTTTCGAAGCGGGTTATTATTGCTAAGCCACTATTGACGCACCAACTAAATATCGCTTTACTTTTTAAATTCGGGCAGTATAATACTAAGAGGGATTTAAGTGTTTGCTATGATCCTCGTGACATTACCAGGTCGCAGTTGACTGCGTATCACTACCAGAGGGCGATACCTGATGGATAAGTTTGATTCGCAGCTCCAGTGATGAGAATCAAACGACGCTACAAAAAACTTTGTTTTCATGAAGTCGTATCGCATCTACGAGGGTCGTTCAATAAGTACGTAACTTTAAATAAAAAAACGGTATTTATTCAAATAATTCTAATTTATATTACTTTTAATTTTATACATTTATTATAGCGGTGCTCAAGCTTTTTTATACCTTTTGAGAAATAATTTTTATCAAATTCCTGAAAATGCTTATTTTTTGCAGTAATTATCTCTTTGTTGGATAAATATCAAATTTTCACGTCAGAAAACAAAAAATTATCGGAAAGGACCAAATCTGGAAAACGAGGTGGATGAGAAACTATTTCGTAGCATAAATAAAATAATTTGGCCGTTACAATGAAACAATGTGAGCTGGTGCATTTTCGTGATAGGAAATAACTTTTTTCGTCAGATGGAGCCACTTTTCCTTCTGTATGACATTAAATAGGTCAAATAATGAGACATAATATTCTCCTGTAATAGATCTTTCACTCTGTAGGTAATCGATCAATATATTACTTGAGTCCTAAAAAATTGTAGCCTTGACTTTTCCGGCTGATCGTACCATCTTAGCTTTTTTCGGTGCAGATTTACTTGGCCTAGTCCACATTTTTGACTCATTTTTCGTTTCTGGCGTATAGTAATGAATTCATGTTTCATCAACAGTAATGTAGTATGGCGAAAACTCCTTCGAATTACATTGAAACATGCTCAAAACAGTACTCAGACGCAACTATACCAGCTCGCTTGTTATCAGCTGCGAGCAAGCACGGCACCCATCTTACAAATAACTTTCTCATGCCGAAATATTCATGTAAAATGTTTCATGTGCATCCTACTAAAATATTTAAAGCCTCACTAATCTCACGCAGTTTCAATCGACGATCGATGAGTACAATATCATGAATGTTATCTATCATGTTTTAAGTAGTCACCTCTTTTGGACGGTCAACACGCTCAGCATCACTTGTGCTCTTACGGCCATAACGAAATTCAAACCACTTTTAAACCATGCCATATGATGTAGCAGAGTCTCCATAATACTTTCTGAGTTTTTCTTCAGTTTCTTTGATTTATTTTCCCCGTAGCAAATAATGTTTAATAAACGCACAAAACTTATTATTTTCCATGATTTTGTTCACACAATGAAAAACTAAAGTTGTAAAAATGATACAGATGCAAGACGACTTCATGAACATGAAATATTTGGTAGCGCCATCGGAACGTCATCACCGCGCAGCTCATTGTGATAGCCATGGTCGAAAAAAATGTTAGTAACAAAACTCATGAATAACTCCATAAAATTTTGTTTTCGATAATAAAAAAATGTCTAAAGTTGAGCTCTCCTAGATTAGTAGAAATTGAATCTACATAGGGTTTGAACCCATTAACCCATTAACGCTCAAGTGAACATTTGACAGACGGTTGGTTTTTCGTCTCTAAAAATATAACACAACCTAAATATTATTAGGGAAAAATATTTTCTTAAGTAAAAAGACCTGCTCTCTTTGAATCTGAGGTCAGATTTGAAAAATTTTCCGCTACAAATTCAATACAGCCGCCTGAAAATGGCTGAACTCAAAGTATCGTTTGTCTGATTTTAACAATTCACGTATTGTTTTATTCGAAAAATAAGGTTTGGAAGCTAGCTATATTGCATTCTTAGAATGTAGAATAGATTGAAAAGATTTGAAAAAGTGAATAAAAATTTTTAAAATGGCGGATTCAATATGGCCGCCATTTCAAGCAATTTTTTTTTCGCCAATTCATAGCAAGCGAGTTATCGTTTTATATGTTTTGAAGGGTACTGAATCCAAATATCATAATAGATTTTCATTTTACAAGATGGCAGATTCAATATGGCCGCCATTACTCATAATTTTTTTTTAATCACAATATTTTTTTTATTTTTTTGCAAATTCATTACAAAAAGTAATTATTTCATGTTTTGGAGTATCCAAATTTCATAAATGACTTTCATTTTACAATATATTGGATCCACCATTTGAAAAATGTTTAGTATTAACATTTTCACATCTTTTCCATCTATTCTACATTCTAAGGATGCAATATGCCTAGTTTCCAATTCTTATTTTTTCGAATAAAACATTATGTAAATTGTTAAAATCGGACAGTCGGTGAGCAGCAAAAAGAGCAGGTCTTTTCACTTAAGAAAATGTTTTTCCCTAATAATATTTAAGTTGTCTTATGCTTTTAGAGACGAAAACCCAACCGTCGTTTGGGCGTTAATGGGTTAAGACACATGTCAAAATTAGATAATATAGTATAGCAGCAAATTGACTATGCACTTCATAGCAGATGAAAAAAAAGTATCTGTGTTTTTTTTCTTCAGCCATTTGTAATTGTTCATAAACATTGTTTATTTACACAAATTATCCGACAAGTTAATATTTTTTAAAACAGATTACCGCGATAGACAAGGGATGTTTAATTCGTTAAGGAAAAACGTCTGTATTGAATTTTCAACACTATTTTTTATTCAATAATCTTTATTCAGTTTCTTTTATATGTTCATGTTAGTATTTTTCATATAGTGGTATAAAACATATTTGGTAAAAATTACAACTCATATTACACATGACGATATTGAACATGTTTTATACATACCTTGTATTATTTTTAATTCATTCAATGATTAATCACTCGACTTTTTTTATTTGCCAGAATGTTTACTGGTAAATTTCTTAAAATAATATACACAAATCTTTTCCACAATTTGTTTATAATCTTTTGGCAATTCTGGGTGGAGCTTATTATAAATTACACTAGCAGTAGTCAATGCTGCCTGAAGAAATTGTAAAAATCAACATCAAAGCCATTTTTTACTTTGTAACAAAACTCTCTCCTTTGTTACCAATTCTTTGCGGGGTAAGTGAGGCACTTTCGCTCATGACAATTGAGGGAGAAGAACGAGGAGAGGTTGATAAATAAATTATATAAAGACAGAAATCAAATCTCACTTACAACCTATTATTATTAATCATTGTTCAAACTAAACATACGCGCGCATAACATATTCTAATTACTAATTAACCAACTACATAATAGAATAGTAAACTACTCATAGTATTCACAAATGAATATTTCGCATTTCGTCTTAATACCTAATCGCGCACTGAACCTATTACAAACTTACTTAAATTACGCAAACCTATACCGGATGAACTGCCCGGCACGTGGGCGCCTGGACAATTCGCCGGTCGTAACTTACACTACTACAAATTAAACTTAAACGCGAACCTTTAGATGGCCGGCACGTGGATGCCTGGCTATCCTATTCAACGCGCACCGGTCGTCGTATCACCAGAGAGAGAGAGAAAGTGTAGAGAGAAAGAAGAAAAGAAGGCTTGACCTTAATTCACCACTCCTCGCAACGTCGTGAATCCTGAGCGATGTGCTGCCGCAGGAAGTACCGGTCGTCGTCGCTGGTCAGATCATTGCTAGCTGCTGGCTGCTATCGCTGACCAGGTATCCGCAGGCGACGTTGACTCTCCTTGCAGGTGGGGCTGGCTGCGGTCGCAGACAAAGCTGTTGCCGGTAGGGTTGACCTTCCTTTCA